TTTAGACTGTGGGCCACTTTTGCAGGAGCTCAGCCTCCTGAGACACATTCTTCTGTTTGCTGCCTATTTCTGCCTCCTAAAAAACAGCCCAGCAGAATTTCAGGAGAAATGCATGATTCTCCTGATCACTAAACACCAAGTAGGGATTTCTTTTCTTAATCATACTAAAATTACCGTAAGAAACAAATGTAGACTTTTTAAAAGAGGATGAAAGACATTTCTACTATGTACCACCAAACTTTTTAAAAAAAATTAACGTTTTGAGATCATTGTATATTCACATACAGTTGTAAGAAATAATGCAGAGATTCTGGGTACACTTTACCCAACTTCCCCCAATGGTAACATCTTGCAAACAATACAAGGGTACTTCAAGAAATTGGAACCCTCATATACTGCTGGTAAAAAAGTAAAATGGTGCAGCCACTGTAGAAAACAGTTTGGCAGTTCCTCAAAATGTTAAACATAGAGTTACCATATGACCCAGCAATTCCACCCCACAGTATATAGCCAACAGAAATGAAAACATATGTCCGTACAAACACCTGTACATGAATGTCCATAGCAACATTATTCATAATAGCCAAAAAGTGGAAACCACCTGAATGCCTATCAACTAACAAATGGATAAATAAAATGTAGTATATCCATACAATGAAATATTATTCAGCAATAAAAAGAAATGAAGTGCTGATACATGTTACAACATGGATGAACCTTGAAAACATTTTCTAAAAACCGGCCATAAAAGATGACATATTGTATGATTCAATTTCTATGAAATGCGCAGAAAAGGAGAATCTATAGCGACAGAAAGTGGATTAATGGTTGCTAGGGCTGGGTGTGGGGGGTAATAAGCAGGTGCTGCGAAGTGACTACTAACAGGGACAGAGTTTATCTTTGGGATAATGAAAATGTTGTTAACTTAGGTAGTTGCACAACTCTGAATATACCGAAAATCATAGAATTGTACACTTTGAATGGGTGAGTTATTTTATCATGTGTGAATTATATTTCAGTAAAGATTTTAAAAATTAATCCAAATTGTCATTTCCTCCACACAATCAGATCAGCGTGGCTTGGCTCATGGGGGGAAATATAACATGATATCACAAGCTGGATGTTGACATTGATACAGTCAAGATGCTGAACAGTTAGTTTCATCACCACAAGGATCCCTCATGCTGCCCTTTTATAACCATAGAAATCTCTGTCCTCCTACCCCACCCCTGATCCCACTAATCTGTTCTCCGTTTCTGTAATTCTTTCAAGAGTATAATATAAATGGCATTGTACAGTATGTGACCTTTTGGGATTGGCTTTTTTCACTCAGCATAATTCCCTGGAGATTTATCCAAGTTCTTGTATGTATCGGTAGTTCATTCCTTTTTATTGCTAAGTAGTATTCCACGGTATAGATGGACCACAGTGTGCTTAACCATTCACCCACTGAATGACTTCTGTTATTTCCAGTTAGGGCTATTATAAATGAAGCTGCTCTGAGCATTCATATACTGGTTTTTGTGTTTCTATGAGGGTACTTCAAAAGTTTGTAGAAAAATAGAATTGAACAACAATACAAATCTTTCCATGAACTTTTTGAAGACCCCTAGTAAGTTTTCATTTCCCTTGGGATAAATGCCCAAGAGTGCAATCAATGTCACATGGTAGTTGCATGCTTAGTTTTATAAGACACTGACAAATTGTGTTCCAGAGTGGTGGTTTCCTTTTGCATTCCCACCAGCAAGGTAGAAGTGATTCCGTTTCTCCACATCTTCACCAACATTTGATGCTGTTACTATCTGTATTTTAGCCATTCTAATAAGTGTGTAGTGATATCTCATTGTAGCTTTAATTTGCCTTTCTCTAATGGCTGATGATGTTGAACATCTTTTCATGCACTTATTTGCCATCTGTGTATCTTTTTCGGTGAAAGAGCTCTTCGTATCTTCTGCCTGTGTTTTAACTGGATTGCTGTCTTTTCTTTTTTTCTGCTGAATATTGAGAGTTCTTTATGTATTCCAGACACTGGTAATTTGTTGGCTATGTGGTTTGCAAGTCCTTTCTTCTACTATGTAGCTTGCCTTTTCATCCTTTCAACAGGATCTTTCACAGAGCAAAAACTCTTACTTTTAATGAGGCCCAATTTATTAGTTCTTCCTTTTATAGACTGCGTTTTTGGTGTCAAGTCAAACTTTTGCCTACCCCCAGGTCCCAAAGATTTTCTCCTATTTTTTTCCTAAAAGTTTCATAGTTTTACATTTTGTTTTTGAATCCATGATCCAATTTGAGCCAATTTTTGTATAAGGTGTGAGACCTAGGTTGAGGTTTATTTTTCTGCCTTTTGATGTCCAATTGCTCTAGCACTATTGCTTTTACACCTTTACCAAAAATTGGCTTGCCATATTTACATGGGTCTATTTCTGGTTTGTCTATTTGTTTCTATTGATTATTATATCTGTTTGTCTGCCAATGCCACATAGTCCTGATTACCATATAGCATGCTTTAATACTGAGTAGACTGATTCTTCCTTCTTCATTCTTCTCTTTCAAGATTGTCTTAGGTATTCTAGAGTTGTGCCTTTCGATGTAAATTTTAGAATAAGCTTGTCTGTGTTTACAAGAACCTTCTTGGGATTTTGATAACAATTGCATTAAATCAAAAGATCAACTTTGCAGAACTGACATCTTCGCTATGTTGGGTCTTCCAATTTATGAGCATGGGACGCCTCTCCATTTACTAGCTCTTCTTTCATTTCATCCTCTTCTTTCATTTCATCCACATTATTTGATTTTCAGCATACACATGGTTTCTTAAGTTTGTACCTAAGTATTAGCTTTCTTTGCAGTGACTATAAAGGGGACTATGTTTTAATATCAGTTTCCACTTGTTTATTGTTAGTATATAGAAATGTGATTGATTTGTGTGTGTTGATCTTGCACCCTATGACCTTGCTACACTTACTAGTTCTAGGAGTTATTTTGTAGATCCATTGGGATTTTCTATGTACATAACTATGTCATCTGCATGGTTTTATTTTTTCCTTTCCAATCCGTATGCCTTTTATTTCATTTTCTTGTCTTATTGCAATGGCTAGAACCTTGTACTATGTTGAATAAGATTAGTGAGAGCAGACATCCTTGCCTTGTTCCCGAAATTAGAGGGAAAGTATTGTCTTTCACTAGGACATACACTGGAGATTTTTACCATGAAACATCTTACAAAATTAGTTTGTCTTCGTTTCCTCTCCCCACTCCCTTCCTTTTTTTTAAGGAGCACTGTAAAACTTAGGGATTGGCTCAACTGAGAGGACAAGGCAAAAAAAACAGGGCAGAGAACTCAGTACTTCCTCCTTCACGCTATCTGCAAGAGTGACAGCACCAACTTCCTTTCAGGAGTTTGGGGCCCTTTACAGCTCTAATCAGCGCTGGCCCTCGTAGATGGAGCAGAAATTGGCTGTTAAGCAGGAGGACCTCAGTCCCCTCCCGGGCCTGCCCTGCTCCTCTAGGCAGCAGCTGCCAGCCGCGCAGCCTGCCAACCTGAGTTGGTGATAGGAGAGTCTCAGATACCCAGATCCAGGGTGACAGGAGTGGCCAGGGCCCAGATTTAGAGGGTGTGAGCTTTTGGCCCGCAGCTCCCCAAAGAAGCAGAGAATCGGCAGTGAAGACAGAAAGCACCTTGAGAGCTCCACGGCTGGAGAAAACTGACAGCAACCAAGTGCATCTAAATACGTGTAGCCCACGGAATAATGATTTTAAGGGGGACGAGGGCAGGCAGTTTACAATCTTAAAAAAGAAGCTCGCCCCGGGGGTCCCCCGAGCTGGCCGCGCCCACACCTGCGCAGGCTCACCTGCCGGCTCGTGCCCACCGTGGGTGCGGCGAAGAGGGGCGCTGGGGCGCCGATGGGCGGGCGGGCCTCGCCCGACGGCCGCAGGGGGGCGCCCCG